AGCAGGGAGCCCGATGCGGGGCTCGATCCCAGGACCCTGGGATCAGGACCTGAGCCGAAGGCAGACGCTTAACGACTGAGCCACCCAGGCGCCCCTCTAATTTTTTTTTTATATCTAATTGTTTTTAAACTCTTTATGGTATACCTTTGTATGTATATATGGCATTTTGTTCTTCTAACACTATTTTATCTGAAGTTTTGTCCAATTTATTTCACCTAACATAGTCTATTTTTACTTTTTCTCTTCTCTTTTTAAAATATTTTTATTTTTATTTTTAAAGATTTTATTTGAGAGAGAGAGAGAGAGGGAGGGAGAGAGAGGGAGAGAGAAAGCACGAGGCGGGGAAGGGGCAAAGGGAAAGCGAGAAGCAGGCTCCCTTCTAAGCAGGGAGCCCAACCCAGGGCTCTATCCCAGGACCCCAGGATCAGGACTTGAGCCGAAGACAGATGCCCAACCGACTGAGCCACCCAAGTGCCCCAGAGATTTTTATTTTTTTAAAATAATCTCTACACCCAATGTGGTGCTTGAACTCACAACCCTGAGATCAAGAGGGGCATGCTCTTCTGACTGAGCCAGCCAGGCACCACTGCTTTTCTTTTCTTGATTAATCAAGTCAGAGGTTGGAAATGGCCATTTTCCAATGCCCATCTTTTTGTTTTGTTGCTTTTATCATTTATTTCAATAATAATTGTTTCAATAATAATTATTCAACAATAATTTTCACATAGGCTTTTTATCATTTTCTTTTTTTCTACTTTCTTTGGATTTACTCTTATTCTCTTTTTTTTTTAAAGATTTTATTTATTTATATGGCAGGGAGAGAGAGACAGCAAGAGAGGGAACACAAACAGGGTGAGTGGGAGAGGAAGAAGCAGGCTTCCCACTGAGCAGGGAGCTCGACCTGGGGTTCGATCTGGGGTTCGATCTCAGGACCCTGGGATCATGACCTGAGCTGAAGGCAGCAGCTTAACGACTGAGCCACCCAGGCGCCCCTTATTCTCCTACTTTTGAACCAATTGCTTAGTTTAATTTTCACTCTTTCTCCCTCAAATGAACACTTCAGCTGCATTCTGTAAGTTTTGATTTGTATATATATGCAATTCAGCCAAAAATACTTTTGTCAACTTCACTAACTCTTCTTACGCATACATTATTGGAAGTTTTGACTGGCTTTGTGATTAATTTCTAACATTATATTATGGTCTGTTGGTAATGTTCTGTTTTCTTTTTTTTTTTTTGCATACTCTACAAAATTCCTGTAATATTTGTGTGCTCGTTAGAGCTTTTGAAAGAGATCTCTAGTTCATTTGTTCTATATCACCCATACCAAAATCCCTTTGTTGACAGTTTCACAGCAAATGTGTATAGGTTCCCCAGAGTAGAAAATCTACCTAACCAGACATTCCTGGAGGTTACCTAACATGTCGATATTCCTCAGAAGTGAAATCTCAACATTGCAGCATCATTCATACTGAAATCATCTGATACTGACTCCCCGTTTTCATTTTCTCTGTTTGAACTTACCTGGCACCAAAGAATATGAGCCATCAGCTGTCCTTTTATAGTGTTTGTGGTATTTAATACTGTTTTAAAACAAATGTGACATCAAAATGGTGAAAATTTTAATCCCAAGATGATGTGAAAGCCATTTCTTTTAAACATATTAGATGATCTACCTGCTTCTGGTATTCTGCTTACAGCTGCTCTATTGGAAGCCTCCAAAGACAACAATATGTTCCAAGAACTTTCCAAGAACCTTTTGGAAGCTAATGGTGGTGATAGCAGGGCTCATATCTCATATGAACTAATATTAAGTAGTATTCAAATTAGGTGTGAGATACTCCAGGTTCTGTGCAGATATCTCCACATTTGTTTTTGAAGCAAACATATCTGTAATCAAGTTACAAGCTAGTCCCCAGGAGACCTGTCTCTGCCTTTTGTTGTTACAAATCTGCTTTGGTATTTTGAGTTTGGAAATAAGTTAAGCTCAGGGTGCCTGGGTGGCACATTTGGTTGAGCGCCAGACTCTTGGTTTTGGCTCAGGTTGTGATCTCATGGGTTATGAGAGATCGAGCCCCGAGTCAGGCTCTGCGCTCAGAGGGGAGTCTGCTTGAGGTTCTGTTCCTCTGCCCCTCCCCCCACTCATACGTGCGCTAAAATAAACCTTAAAAAAATAAGTAACATTAGTCTCTCATAATCGGTCAACAAATGTATTTTCACTAATTATATCATGGATAGAATGGTTGGACTCTCCCTGTGGTGGGGGTGCTAAGAAAAGGTCAAATTTAGTATCTGTTAAAGAAAACAACTACAAAAACTTTTGTTCCAGGTATATAAGGTGTTGAACTCAGTATCTTTCTCTTCTCGTATTCATTTCCCTTCTGTATTAGTCTGGGTTTTCTAGATAAAAAACCCAACAATCTCTATCATCTATCTGTATCATGTGTATAGATATACATAAAAGAGAAGATTTATTACAGGAACTGGCTCACACAGAGAGGCTGAGAAGTTCCACGATCTGCTGTCTGCAAGCTGGAGAACCACACCAGCCGGTGATATAATTCAGTCCCAGTCCGAAGGCCTGAGAACCAGGGCGGGCTAAGGGCATAACTCCCAGTCAGAGACTGAAGGCCCAAGGAGGAGTAGGGCTGCTGCTGGTGTAAATTCCAGAGTTCAAAGGCCTGAGAACTGGGAACTTCAGTGTGTACAGGCAGGAGAAAATGGAAGTCTCAGCTCAAGGTCTGGTTCTATCTTAACCTGTTAACCAAATCCTGGTTTCAGTAACAGAGGCAATGGGTTTTCAAAAGCTGATCAGCAGTATAGGATCCAACAATGCTCACCAGAATCTCTTAAAATACAGGCAACTGTCAACATTCAGAGTTCCGTGGTTTACCTCTTGGAATGTTTGAGGAGTACCACAAATCCCCGCTTAACCACCGCCAAAGTCGTAAAAGTTGCATCATGAATAGCACCTCTAATTAGGGCCCAACCACCCCCACACACTAACACAGACGTTATGGTTCTGGTCTTTCAACGACTTCATGTCAGACACTGGTCACATTGAGTTGGTCTCTATTTCACCACAAACTTCCAGAATATTAAAATATGCACAGGTTTTCTCTCTGTTGGAGATTACTAGAACACATCCTTTGAGAGTAGCTAGAATGCAGCTTAAGTCCTTTTTGCCTTTTTAATATCTAGGTGCTTAAAAGTGGAGTTCACGGGAGCACGGACTCTCAACCTTCCAATGGAAGACGATTTTCATAATATTGGAAAGATGGCTAGACATATACATCAAAATAAAGGAGTCAGCTTTAGACTTAATCAAGTTAGAGTTTCAACTGCTAAGTGTTTCAAAAGCAAAAAAAATTTTTTTTCTTCTCACTGAGTAAGGAGAGTTATGAGCTCTGGGGACGAGGCTGGTGAAGGGTAGCAGAATGTGCCACTCTAAAATAGGCCTCTTTGGCATATGTCTTATTTTGAAGTGATTATTTTGTGAAACTGCTGACACAAGAGAAGCTCTGAAAATAAAAGTTATCCTTCTGTAATGGCAATTTACATTTATGAAGAAAATTTACTTTAGAAAGGGAGGCTGTACCAGGAAGAGAGTTACTGCTGGACATCACTTATTCACCTGGCTTCTCTTCCAGGCAAGGTCAATCTCACCAAACTTTTCCTCTTCTCATCATCTTCCCCTGAAGTGCAACGCCGTCCCTCCCCCCGGCCCCCACTCCCCAACATCCCTCTAAGGCGGGGGCTTGGGCTGCTTCAAGGAGTTTTTCTCAGTGTTCCTGGGTATTTCCCATGTATACATGAGGCATGCATTTTAAACTTGTATTTGTTTTTCTCTTGATAATTTTTTATCACAGGGCGTCTCAGCCACGAACGCAGGAGGAGGGAGGGAAAATTTTTCCTCCCCTACAATGGTTAGGAGTCTTTAGTGGCTCAGGGTTATAAGGTACACCTGTCCCTGGCTTGGGGTTCAGTCCTTCTGGGAGGGGCATGCGCCTTGGCGGCAACCATCTCTACATCCATACCTCCACTGGCTTCTTCCTGTTCGCGCTTCTTCATCACGGTTCTCCTTCTCTGGGTTACTCATTCATTCATGTGCTTTAAAGATCTCAAGTAGCCATTGGTAGTATCTTCAACAACAGCCTTATACTGTGGGCCAACAGAGGGAAAATATTCACCCCATTCCTTGAGGGTACTGGCAGGGTACAAAGGTCTATATTAATACAGACAACATTCAAACATGACGCTCAGTGTTGCAATAAGACAAACTCCCTTCAGAGATACTATGAAAGGTTAGCTTTTGCCTCCCAACATTTTCCCCTTAATTTTGGCTCCTCTGACACATTTCCATTAACAGTTTTTCCTGGAGCACAAGGGAGGAACCTCCTACTGTCCCTGGCTCTTGTTCCTCATGTCAGGTAGCTTCAGGGAGGACGTGGTTTATTCACAAGATGACACCTAAGCAACCGTATGTTTATTTGATTCCTTTTAGGTATGAAGGTCTGTGTTAACGTTAACGTTAATGCATTAACACCCCCCACACATCCATGAACTGTTAAGATAGTGAGCACTATTTTGAGCATTGTTTTGACAAAGAGCATTTTCTCTTTGTTAAAAATATGTACAACTGGAAACAGTCACTAAAAGGGCAGATTCTACTTTTAAAAATTTGAACTTTCCAAATTCTGTTGGCCTCACGCTTAAAGTTCATTTGTGTCAAATGTGCATAAGTTACACTTTCTCAATGTTTTGCAAATCCCTGTGGAAAATAAAGTGTGTTGAATCAATGAACAGAATACAAGTGTCAGGGGGTTCCAGCCTGAGAGTCTGGATTACTATGGTCATGTCTTGAGATAGCTAACCTGTCTCCAGCAATCACTCTTTCAGTAATAGCAGCCCCCTCTTACCCAGCTTTTTATTTTTTAAAGATTTTATTTGAGACAGAGAGAGAGAGACAGACAGACAGACAAGCTGGGTGGGGGAGCAACAGAGGGAGAGGGAGAAACAGGACTATGGGATCATGACCTCAGCGGAATGCAGACACTTAACGGACTGAGCCACCCAGGCACCCCTTACCCCAGCTTTTGATTGGGTACCTGTCTGCTTAGTTGGGGACCTTATTTCCCAGCCTCTATTGAAGCTAGCTGTGGCAGCATGACTAAGTTTTGTCCAATCGGATGTAAGCAGAAGTGACACGAGTGACTTAAAACAACACGCATGCCCTGGACTTCTTTCCCTCTTCTGTGGCTGGGAATCAGTGATAAGGAGAGAGCCAAATGGCCAGCCTGGGCCCTAGATAATCTTGTGGGCCTGATCACTTACCTTTGAACTGCTGACTTTGACAATAACAAACTTCTCTCTTGTTCCAGCCACAGGGTTTTGGATTTCTTGGTTACAGCAGTTTACTCTGCACCTTACGAAGTACAGCTACAGGCATGTTGTTTCTTTTCCTGATAAGCCCCACCAAGAACCTTCTACCCACTCAACAGATTTAGATTAAGACAACTAAAAAGCCAAATTTGTGTAATTCAGTAACATTTATTTTACATAAAACAATTTTCAAAGAATACATTTAAAAACCATCTAGATACTGATTTTTATCGCATTACAAAAAATTGAGAGGCGCAATTTAAGTATTCAAATAAACTGTGAGGGGTGGTGGTGGGGGCTTAGGGGGGATCGCTACCGTGGTGTTCCTTAGTCACTTAAAGGCTCTGGAACAAGAGTCTTTACCATGAGGCAGTAGTGCACTTCATTTAGTAGGAATAAATCACATAAAATATATACTTTTATACAGAAAGTGTTATTGTATTATCACTTTCAATTACCTATAAAAACTTCATATTGAATTGCACAAAACTTCTTTAAAATTGGTAACTCCCAGAAGGTAGGGCTTAGAACTAAATATCTGTGTAAATAATTCATTACAAATAATTAGGTTTCTATTTCTCCATAGACCAAAAAAAAAAAAAAAATCTATGAAGAATTACATTATTCAAATGGGACATCTAAAATTTTTTTCATAGGAAAATAGGTTTACAGATTTGTCTCTAGTCAACTAAACTTATTTTCTCCCTACTTTAAAACAAATCACAGAAGGTCCAAAGTTTTAAATCAGAGTCCCTATACCACAGTATAATGTGGAAGTGTTTACATTAATTCATTTTTTTGGATTATTCTACCATAGTATTAAATTATCAAAAAGGCACATGGGTACATTCTTCAGAACAGTTTTGGTCTTTTTTGTTTTGTTTTGTTTTTAAAAAACCACACATTTATAAGCAGTGATTTCAATCATGTTTAACAACAAAAATATTAAACAGATTCATTTCTTAATCCAGATGATACAGATTCCATGAAATTTCTGTAGGCACTTCACTTTCCATAGAATTTCTTGTTCAGTAGGTATATGAGAAGGTTCACATTCACTTTAACCTTATCAAACATTTTCATTACAGCTACTCCTTCATACTGCATCTGAAGTAAATCCTGAAATTGTGAAGATCATCATTAAATCTCAAATTTGTCATTTTGCACATTTAAAAAACATTCTAGAAGAATCTGTCAACAAAAATAAGATTCAGTTGACCTAACTACGGAGTGTGCATCAAAATCATCCCGTTAAAAACACAAGCTAGTTACAGCACAGATCGCTGGGCCCCATCCACCAGAAGTTCTGACTTTGTAGCTTTGGGGTGAGGCCCAAGAATATGCATTTTAACAAGTTCCCATGTGATGATGGCATGGTTGGTCTGAGTGCCATACTTTGAGAATCACTTACCTAAGTGAAAGAAAACAGATTTTTAGAATTGATAAGCACTGTATAACAGAAAACCATCATCAAATTAATATCAGATATGTAATTATACTTTTTAATCGAAAAATTCAAAATATAAATATTCAAGCGAGATGGGTTCTAGCCTTTAGAACAGTGGTGTTTTCTAAAGTGGAGCAAGAGGGACGCCTGGGTGGCTCAGTCGTTAAGCGTCTGCCTTCGGCCCAGGTCATGATCCCAGGGTCCTGGGATCGAGCCCCGCATTAGGCTCCCCGCTCTGCGGGAAACCTGCTTCTCCCTCTCCTACTCCCCCTGCTTGTGTTCCCTCTCTCGCTGTGTCTCTCTCTGTCAAATAAATAAAATCTTTAAAAAAAAAAAAAGTGGAGCAAGAAAGGCAATTCCTTGGGAAGCAAAAAGAATATGAGAACTCCTATTTATTCTTATTTTTTATCATTCTTTAAACGTTTACATTTTGTATATATATTTTATAGAGTATAGTAGTAAGGGCATGTATACTTTATAAATAAGTATGTACAAATGGGCATTAATGATCATGTTATGTACTGAAGTTGTGTGATAGAAAGTTGGAGACCCCTGTATAAAGCAAATCCTTCCTGATTCAAATTACTTCTATTCCTGTATTGAGAACAAGTCCTTATTCTCAAGTCAATCATTCTGCCACCACATAAACAAAGGAAATCACCTCTTGCTAAAGTTAGTAAATGTGTCACACCAGTCATATGCATGAGATAAGCAGCAATGTTTCCTAACACCACAGGACAGGGAGGTCTTTCCCAAATAGAAGATACCATTCTTGAACTCCCACAGACTAATACCCAAGACCTCATTTTCTTGTTTCTAGCTCTGGAAACTTCTTGGTTCTTAATGATAATGTCTTGTGTCTACATTAAGCAAGGCCACTTGCTTAACTTCCATTAAGAAGTTGGAATCATCTTTGAGAGAACTTTGGCTGTTTCCAGCTTCCTTCTCCACTTCTTCAATTACCTCCAACTGTACTCAGCTCTAAGTAAGAGACACCTGCAGGTGTCTGCAGGGGAATCAGATGGTCCCCCAACGTGGAGAGCAAAGTAAATGACCGAACTTGTGGATGGAAGATCAGATTTGAGACTTAACCCCACCATTTGCTATCTTATGACCTTGCAACATCGCACAACCTCTCTGAAGTTCTGTATTTTGTGTGTGTGTAAATTGTGAGAACACTGCCTACTTCACAGGCGTGCTGTTGGGCACAGGAGATCAAGGTCCACAAGCTCTTTGTAAGCCACCCATGCCTTGTCAGGATTAACTGGAATCCTGTGAGGGGGGCAATGGAGCCGAGTGATGAAGAACTTGGACTCCAGCTGCGTCTTGTATAACGAGCGCTCTGAACCTCTCAGTTCTTCATCTGGGAAAGGAAGCGAGTCAACCTTGTAGCCCTTGATGAACACTGGCCATTATCTGTGACAGGAGAACATCTTCACTTAAGTCGCACCCTTTTTAGGCATACTGCCAATACATATTGGATTTAATTAGGATATAATCTTTAGGAACCGAGGAAAGAGTGGGAGAAGACGACCTAGAAATAATGTTAGAAGCGATCTCCCTTAATTCTCTTACAAATTTCTGTCCTGTTGCCAGGCCTTGTCTCACACTAATGACCTGGCCATCATGTCCTCTTTGGTAATTCATGTGATAATGTAATTGTCTGAAGGCCTTCTGTATAAACAGAAGTCTGACTTTATTAGCTATTAGATGCAGGGCTGGCTACTGGGGCATTTAACCTGCGCAGGGTCCCATGATCAGTAGGGCCCTGCACTTTGTTTAATGCTCTCCTGTTACTATTTTGAAATTCTCAATAATTCTGAATAAGGGGCTGTACATTTTCATTTTGCATCAAGCCCTGCAAATTATGTAGGTAGCCTGGTGGTATGTTAATGACTTTCAAAATCTGGGGCGGCTAAGCAGTAACATTTCGCAATCAATTACGTGTATAGATGAACGGCGTGAATAGCTAATCCCACTGCATACTGAATCCTTAACAAAGGAGCATGTGAAGCTTGGTATCTGCTCCACTGTTCAAAGGAAGTCCCATGGAATTCTTGAGGCCTGTCTGAACAGGTGTCTCCTGGTCACTTGGAATTCGTCTGTCCAGTTGATGTTGATTGGCCTTGGGTCATTTCCTTCTTGACAAACACGTGATAGGTCTTTGCCGCTTCTAGAGAAGAATGACTAACCAAGACAATCCACTTTGGAGCAGATGGTTTTCTCTTCCCATATTTATCTAAGTGGTACATAGGGTCACTCAAGCTTTTCAGTTAAATTGTTAGACGGATACATTTAGTGACATTTAAAATAAGGTAGAAAACAATACTGTTTACTTATATATGCTTTTCATAATTACACATTATCTTTCATTTTCTCTCTAGACTCTAATTTACTCCATTATCTCAATGGCCTTTTCATATTCACTTCTAATTTTTCCTTTTAAGCTACAAGGAATGCTAGACAGAAAAGAAGGGATTGGCATCTGCTCCTAGGAGGGGGAAGTCATTTCAGGGCTCTCGGCCACTGGCTCCGCAGGCGGTGAGGCTAGAACTTGTCACTTGCAGGGGCTCATCAAGATGGTTTGTGTAGATACACACAGAGTACCTGGGAACCATTTTACAAGTAATTTGGGACCCAGGTAATTAGGTGTTATTTCCATTTAAAATCTCTTATGTGAAAAAGAAAAACTCAAATACTTGTTCTTTTTTTTTTTTTTTTGAGAGACGGAGACAGAGACAGCGAGAGAGAGCGCAAGTGGGGAGGAGAGGGAGAAGCAGATTCCCTTGCTGAGCAGAGAGACACGACGCGGGGCTCGATCCCAGGACTCTGGGATCATGACCTGAGCTGAAGGCAGATGCCCAATGACTGAGCCACTCAGGGGCCCCCCAGATACTTCTTTTAGCCGATCGTACACTAAGGATTAAGAAGAGGTTGGGAGTAAACATTTGGTTGCACACTCCCTTCATTTTCTGTTGTTGTGGTGGTTTTCTGGACACAGAAATTGGATGTCTCAGTTTTTGTTCAAGTATATTTAGCTTAAATGTGGTTCTTATGAGTAAAAGGCAATAATTCAGACTGCAGACACCATTTTTCTACTTATAGATAACTATTTTGCACAGTGTCTTTCATTCTTATCATCCTAAGCATTTAACAGATATTTTTAAAAAGATATATTTATTTTAGAGAGAGAGAAAGAGAAAGAGAAGGATAGAGTGAGAGAGCATGCATGTGTGAGTGGGCGGAGGAGGAGAGAATTTTTAAAAAGATTTTATTTATCCATTTATTTGAGGGAGCGAGAGCACACAAGCAGGAGGGAGAGAGAATCTGAAGCAAACTCAGCGTGCAGAGCTCTATCCCATGACTGACCACAAGACTAGGACCTGAGCCAAAACCAAGAGTTGGATGCTCAACAGATGAGCTACCCAGGTGGCCCCTAAGCATTTAATTGATTTAATACACTAATGTAAAAATGATTCTAAGAAGGAGAAAGAAGGAGAAATGAGGTCAGGAAAGTTCCAATCCTGGGCATATGTAGTCTTAGAAAGAAATCCAAGTTCCTAATAAAAGAAAACTTGCCAGCCTTCATATAGCTCTCAATACTTTTATACTATGTTTACCCTCTAAGCTTCAAAATGGAAACATGCCTTAGAAATACTGACCACTATGGTTTGCCATCTAAAAGCATTTTAAGTTCGAATATTTTGAAAAATCAGAGCTTTTTAAAAAACCATCAATGCTTAAAAAGCTAATATTGGCAAATAAGGCTTGCAGGGGTCTTCCGGTGAACCTCACTGTTATGAAGGGTGGAAGCCAGGGGAGGCACAAATGCCCCACATTATAAAACTCACCCCCACTTTGCAGAAATCCCAGCTTACCTGAATATTGAGCTGTACCTTTTCCATCTCGACACCAAGGAATTTGGATCTGACATCAAAGATGCCCACATCTTCAGTAGATACGATATCAAATGTAACATTTTTAAACCTAGTGAAGAAAGGGACACTCACACATGTGGAACTGCAAATTTATGTGTAAAGCTGACACCAGTTAATGGAATCCTTAGTTAGCAGGCTTAGTGCAAGGTCCACTGGGAAAATCCTAATCCCCCAAACCTCCTATCATACCCCTTCCCCACTCTGCTCACTAACCTAGGTTTCATGGTTCTTGTTGGGACTGTAGCTGAGAGCACTGAAGTAGGTCCTTTATTATAAAAGAAATGCTATTAAAATGTCGTCCTTGTTCTTAAAGATCATAAAATATAGTTGGAAATAGGAGGTTCACAGAATGTGAGGATTAAATATTGACTTGTACCGCTGAGAGGTCGGTTGAATTTTTATTCTACTTTACTTTATTTCATTTTAAAGTAGGCTCCACGCCCAATGTGGAGCCCAACGTGTGGCTTGAACTCACGACCCTGAGATCAAGAGCTGAGCCGAGATCAAGAGTCAGACGCTCAACCGACTGAGCCATCCAGTTGAATATTATGGATGATTTCTTTTATAGAAACTATAAAGATGAGGAAGCATGTTCTCTGAGTGGGTGGAGTCAAGAGAAGCTTTGCTGGGATAAGTGGAATAGAGCCCAGTTCTGGAGAGAAGGCAGGAGTTGGAGAGGAGGGCACATGGGGAGTCTGGCTCCCCCCCAGCAGTGATGGGACACAAGGCTCATGGTCCCTTTAACACAGAGAACCCACTGGCACGTGGTACGTGGCTGCAGCGGAGGGTTTCCATTTTCCCCTCTAGGTCAAATACACACACCAACAGCACACCGCAGATGGCTCTGACCCGGGTGTTGGCACACAGTCTGTGGCTTTGAAATGAGAAAGGTACTATTTTGCACTTGTAAATAACTCATCATTCAAGACCAAAAGGCAGCTTTTCATTCTCACTGATATGACTCAGTCCTTTTGATGGGAAAGGGGAGGCGGGCAAATCCAAACACACCGGGCCAGTCATGGGAAACACAGTGACCCGCTCGGCACTTCCTACAACCCACAGCACCAGATGTTTGGGGTCTGATGGGAAGACTAGAGACCAAATGAAGCTCTCTTCAAAGGCCACAAGAAACCTAAGAGAAGGGAGTCGGATTTTATGGGAGTGATTAGAGGGTGCTTGTGCTCTGTGTAGATTCTGGGTCACACTCACTGGTTTGTTTGAAGGTCGTCTATCCCCAGGAGGACACCTTTCTCATGCAGCTTTGCTGCCGTGTACCTCACCGGCTTGGATCTTTTCGCCCCTTTGGGTTCTCCTTTTCCATCTAGTTTAATTGATCTTCGAGAATTTCTGACAAAAGAATAAACTGTCTGTTGTCATGATGGCAAAGTCAGATGCAATAACCCTGTCAGGGTGCCCACCACTGCTCACACTGGGCCCCACTGCCCTGAATACAAAACTTTTTATTTTGCAACAGTTAAGGTGAGATTTTTCCGAGATTTTGCGATAGTAGGTGACAATTTTCCCTAGACCATAAAACCTCACTACTGAAATATAAGAGAAAGCTATTTTCAAAGTGACTGAAGTTTGAATTACAGACTAACATTTTTCATAAAACTTGTCCTCTATTTTCTCAGGCATGTCGAAATACGTAGCTATATTAAGTCATTCTGCAAGCAGCTTTGGTTCATTAATCTGAACTGCATACTTCTTCTTTTTTTTTTTTTTTAAAGATTTTATTTATTTATTTGACAGAGAGAGACACAGCGAGAGAGGGAACACAAGCAGGGGGAGTGGGAGAGGGAGAAGCAGGCTCCCCGCAGAGCAGGGAGCCCGATGCGGGACTCGATCCCAGGACCCTGGGATCATGACCTGAGCTGAAGGCAGTCGCTTAACCAACTGAGCTACCCAGGCGCCCTGAACTGCATACTTCTTAAGTAAAGGTATTATTAAGACTTTTTTAGTTTATTTAATAAATACTATGTGGCCAGCAATGTTCTAAGTACTTTATGAATATTGCCTCACATTTGCAAAATTGACATTTCCGTAGTGCTTTGAAATAAATAAATTCCTTTCTTATTGTTTCATTTAGCTCTCATAACAATGCTTGTGAAGCTGTTACTCCTGCCACCTTAAAGATGAGAAAATTGAAGTTCCAGAGACATTCACTGGGCTGGGTCACAGATCACACAATCTAAGAGGAAATTAGAATGCAAATCCAGCTCACCCAACTGCAGAGCTTGTAAAATGCCTTCAAGTAGTTGCAATAAATATATAAAAAATCCCCTCTAACAACCCTATTTCTTCTGGGTATTATTAGCTTGATCAACTTCTTCTTCCCAGGAACAGAGTAAAAGTAATTTACAGGCTGCAAGCAAACGAATTAAAATTCAGAGCTAGTGGGGCCCAAATAGATGCGGTTTAAATTTGCTTATCTCCCTTCATCAAATCTTCTATGATTAATGCAGTTGATTTTTCTGTACAGCATCATTTCCTACTGTCAATTTGATTACATGGATTACGTGAAAATATTGCATTACATATTTAAATGGGTAATTAAAATTCGATTAGTATCAATCTTAGTCTAGGAGTAAGAACAATTATGAGCAAAGAATACTCATTAAAAGTGGCTACATTGCGTATAAAAAAATCTGTAATATGTATGCTAACGGATAATAGACAACTGCCAAATTTTGTCTTTTATGTCAATAATATTTTTGTAAACCCATAAGCAATTTTAAAGGTTTTTAAAATTTATTTGAGAGAGAGCGAGCGAGCACGAGTGAGGGGGGTGGTTAGTGGAGGAAGGGCAGAGGAGAAAGAGAATCTCAAGCAGACTCTGTGCTGAGCGCAGAGCCCAATGTGGGCTCTACCTCACAACCCTGAGATCATGACCTGAGCCGAAATCAAGTCAGATGCTTAACTGACTGAGCCACCCAGGGGCCCCACTAAGCAATTTTAAATCATTAGGCTGTCTTCGCTGTTAGCAAACACCTGGAGTTATCTAACATTAATATCATTTACTGTAAACATTCAAAAAACAAGAGTAGTTTAATTTTTATCATAGTGTTCAGAGACACCTTTGACTAAAACAGACAAAAGGAAAAAGGAGAGTGCTTCCCCAGGTGTTAAAGCTACTTGCTTAAAATACAACAAATTGAGCTACTCGAATTCCAATGCTGATGGGCAATTCAAAAGTTCCTAAATGCACTTCTGACTTCTTAGATCACAGCAGCAAATCACAAGATTGAGATTCTAGTGTTTGGTTATAAAATAAAGCAAGCAGTTTGCTTCCAAGCCCCACTGTCCAGGATTGTAGAAGAACGGACACCCCTATACACCAGGACACCACAAACGGACATAGGAATTTAACTTACCTTCTTTTTAAGTTGTCTAAACAAGTCTTTATGTAGGTGTCATAATAATTAATCTGCTCTTCATAAAATGCCGCCTTCTCATTGAGTGCCTTCAGGGTCTGCTGAAGTTTGGCCAATTCAGCTTTTCGAAGCTTACGATGTATTCTTTGATTTCGAATGTCCTAAAAGAACAAATCAAGGCTATGATACGAGATTTAAGAAGCTGACTTTATGATATTGCCAATGTGGGACAAGAAGACTGTGGACTATTGAATCCCTATTTGTGACCATTAACCTGTAGCTTCCCTCAGTGACCTTCATCTCTGAACACTAAAGTGTCCCTCCTTCCTTGCTTATACTTCAGACTGGCAAGGGTCCATATTTCACTTTAACAGAGTTGCTAAGGTTTATTTTTTCCTTGATGGAAAAGCGGATAAGCATTTTTGGAACAACCATACAATTAATTTAAGGAAAAATAGTGTTTTAAGAGGGGCCTAAGGAAGACTTTCCTAGGAGACAGCAATTTCTTCAGAATGTCTTCAACATTCCACTTGGAAGAATACTTTACCTGGAAAGGTTTACACGTAATCAATGCATTCCTTTTAGAAATAAGTAAAACAAACAAACAAACAAAAAACAATGCACTTTTTAATCTGAGAAATATTTCTCAAGGTTTCCAAAAACAACTGAGCTCTCAAGATTGATAGGAAAGATATAACTCTGGTAACTATTCCTTGGATTTAAATAGAGTTAGGAGAACATTAAGTTGTCCAAACTGCTTATAACTTATAGGAGCTAGGCTATATTTAAACTTATAGGCATAAGATTTATTTGTAATTCTAACGGGTAAATCACGAAAATGTTTCATTTAAGAAAATGGCGCTTGTTTACTATGATTTTCCTTATGTGGACAAATTAAAACACATTTACCTAGGAACCCAGATAGACATGTATACGTCCTTAAATAACAATTCACCAGTAAACAGAATCTTTTGGAGGATGCCTTCATGGTAGACCTTTTTTTAAGGCAAAAGCATTCATTTCTCTACTAATTATGCCCAGAGAGCAATATTCTCCACCCCAGAGCTATGGAAAGAAATGTGACTTCCCTTGAGTCACTTAGGCTAGGAGGACTAAATCTACTGCTCTAAGTGACCATAACTTTCCATGGAAGAAAGAAGCGGAGTTGATTTTCCACCAAGAAGGTGAGAACATTTACTTTTTTCCTGATCACTTAGCTGCCTTTAACCTCCAGACCCATTTTAATTTGCATATTTGGATAAAAAGAAGGAAATGTCCTTTTGACTCAAATATATACTTCCTTATCCTTGGCATACAGATCTTAGCCATTTCCTGTGATGCTTCCTCACACTAATTTGAGATCCTTTTCTCAGGAAGTTTCCCAACTGTAAAAATATGGGATGAGAAAACAGAAAGCACCCTTGAAGTCTTAACTGCATTTAGGCTCAACTGCTCAGAGGCACATTCTCAGGGACACAGAGTTAATATCTCAGTGGCAGGTCCTAAGAGCAACTGGGCTATATGACAACTAACAAGAGAGAACTCTCATTGAAGTACCATTTTTATTTTAAAACTAGTAAGTATTGGGGCGCCTGGCTGGCTCACTTGATAGAGCATGTGATTCGATCTCGGGGTTGTAGGTTTGAGCCTCATGTTGGGTGTAGAGATTACCAAAAAAATAAAATCTTAAAAAAACCCCCAAACTTAGTAGGTATTGCTTAAAGGTATAGATGAGACCTGTCAATTAAATTTCCTGAGCATTATTTCTGGTGTGTGTCAAATGTCCTAATGACTTGGGGAAGTTGTGAATTTTTTCTATTAAAAGTCATCAATGGGGTGCCTGGGTGGCTCAGTTGGTTAAGTGTCTGCCTTTGGCTCAGGTCATGATCCTAGGGTCCTGGGATCGAGCCCCGCATCGGGCTCCCTGCTCCATGGGAGGCATGCTTCTCCCTCTCCCACTCCCCCTGCTTGTGTTCCCTCTCTCGCTGTCTCTCTCTCTGTCAAATAAATAAATAAAATCTTAAAGAAAAAAAAAGTCATCAATGGCTTTGAAGCCTTTGAAAATCTGTAATATTGATCATGGCAATACAACTATGAATCTGTTATGTCACCTCAGAGAGTGCCTAGCATGTGACCAAAGATTAGCAAATGTCTGCTAAGTGAAGAAGGAAGAATACTATTTCCAAAAACCTTGGCAATCTCATTGAGAATGTCTTGGTATTTATTCTTGGATGACACGTGTCCAGTTTGTTCCAAAGTCCTAAGATTCCTCTGGATTTTCCTCTTCTTCTGCTCCAGGGGTAGCTGTGCATCTTCAACCATAGACTGACTATGCTTCATTTCTTCTGGAGCCTGGGAATCTATAATTGCACGGCTCACCATATCTTTGGCATGATCTGTTTCCTGAAAAGAGAATATCAAGATGTTGACTGTTCTTTGATTCCCCAGTCTCACAAATTCATAAACTGTACAAGACAAGTTAATGTCAAAATAAAAGAAGTCTCAAGTCAGAGTCCAAAGACCAGAATCAGCTTATGTTCTTCATGGAATTTGAATAGGTCTTTGGGAAGGGATTATCTCCTGTTTTTGAGAAATATAACAATGGTGGCAGGCCTACTTTGAGCAAGATTCTCAATGGCTACTTTAGTGCTAAGATGAGAAATCACCTTAGTAATGAATATATTATAGTGGATAACTGATATTTTTGAAGTCCCTGGATGGAAGGATTTCAATTCCTGGACAGTTCAGCTGAGGAAACTAAAACTACATTATTCATTATTAAAACACAGCTATGAGAACACCCTAAACATCCAGAACCCAACTGAACTCTCACACATCAGCATATTTATGGAGATTGGTAAGCCATGAGGGCAGAGACCTTTATTTTAATAAGGGAATAATTCTCAAACTATCAACTCTGAAAAGCCTGCAGGGTGTCTTTGAACCAAAGGGACTAAGAATATTTTAGTTCATCCTAAGTTTCCAAATAATTGATTAGTAAATGAATGAATGAATAGAATTTGGACAGGTTATTCAAAAAAAACAGTAATAAAAGGAGACTGGTGATCTTCCCAATTCATTTTATTAGACAACTGATTGACACAATATAAAGTCTAAGGATACAAATATTATTAGATGACAGATAGACTAACACAGGAATAGTTTACAGGTCAGCGGTCAACATTAACTGCAGCACTTAATATGTTATTGGACACCTAGTATGTGCCAGTTATTATTCTACCCGCTTAACATGTTTTAAATCATTTGTTCTTGCTATGAATTAAGCACCATTATTATTCCCTTTTATAGTTGGGGGAACTGAGGTAGAGAAATCCTTCTAAGTGCCTGGAATTACATAGTTAGGAGGTGCAGGACTATACTTGATCTTGGGAGTCTGCATTCTTGTGACTGTGCTACATTTGGGGAAAAATTAAATATTCAATAAGGACTAAAATTCTCTTACTAAATTAGTAGGATATTCCACCCACATTGTTTAAAAATATTCACACATTAACAAACACCAGATAACTTGGTTTCATTCTTTATGTTTTGTAAATTAGAAACAGTCATTTCTTGGCAACCAATTAAATGAAGAATGATTCAGGCATGGGGTGCCTGGGTGGTTCAGTCAGTTGGGCGTCCCACTCCTGATTTCCACTCAGGTCATGATTGCAGGGTCATGGGACTGAGCCCTACATCGGGCTCCGTGCTCAGCAGGGAATCTGCTTGAGGATTCCCTCTCTCTGCCCCTCTCCCCACTCACATGTGCGCACTCTCTCTCTCTCTCTCTCTCAAATAAATAAGTAAATCTTAAAGGAAAAAAAGAATGATTCAGGAAAATTATGTGCTGCTCTGCTAAGAAGTATCTAATTAGATAATTTTGTTAACTTTTGTTTAGCAAGTGGTAATTACTGATACAAAAGCAATAGCAGTGAATTAACTTAATTCAGAATGAACTAAATAAACAATGATGCATTTTAAAAGATGTTGATAACAACTTTAATGCAAGATTGTTAGGAACCTTTAGTTACTTACAGCACGATTATGGTGCTCTGACCTGATGGACTCAAGACATTCACTTCTGAAGCATTTGGAAAACAGTTTTAATGTGTGAGACACTTGTTTCAATTTAGCAAATACGTAAGATATGAAAGGTATTTTTTTACATCCTATTGACCAGAACTATCTTTTAACTGACTTATCTGCCCACCCACTATATGAGGTTTATTTTATTTTATTTTATTTTTAAGATTTTTATTTATTTGACAGAGAGAGACACAGCGAGAGAGGGAACACAAGCAGGGGGAGTGGGAGACGGAGAAGCAGGCTTCCCGCCGAGCAGGGAGCCTGATGCGGGGCTCGATCCCAGGACTCTGGGATCATGACCTGAGCCGAAGGCAGCCGCTTAACGACTGAGCCACCCAGGAGCCCCTATATGAGGTTTATGATGAACATTCAGAGGCTTTAAAATTATCTTCCTAGTCTAGGACAAATTTACATTTAGCATACATTTGGTGCTGCATTTTATATTTCTTTCCCATTATAGGGATTTTATATTTATTACTGAACTCAGCTGGCCAGAGTAACACATAAATTTCCTTACTTCCAAACCATGTCAGTTACATTGTCTTTGCAGTAACAGTAAACACTGGACATGAAGATTAAGAAAGTCAACTCACATACATGGTACTTATTATTTTACACTCAAAGACCAATCACCTGTTGTGTCGTTGCTGGTGTCTCCAAGATTTCTGTCAATGTGTTCCCTGGTTGGTTCCGGATCACATCAATTATCAGCTTTTTGGTCCTTACAAAATTGAGAAGAGACAGACTTTCAGACGGCAGTCCTGACGTACAACAATCTGCTTCTCCCCTATGCTTCTTTGTATGTGTTACATGAACGCATACAAAAATGAAGCTTCAAAGATAATCCCTTAAAACAGAACGGTCTTTCAGAAATTCACATCTGCTCTGAGGCTCCTGCAAGTTTGTGAGTGCTTGATAATCAAAGTCTGGGTTTTACATACTGGATGTTGTGGGATTATGCTGTCAGTAACAGGGGGACAAGTATGTCAGTAGATTCCTTCTCTAAGTACTTTTTCTTCTTTGTAGACAGAGACTACTTTTGATGAGCAGGAGGGATGTGCTGCTGATATGGCCTGCTACTGTGGAGGATGCAGGAATGATATCTAATACCCTCTCCCCTTTCCTGACTTTACTAACTTTAAGCTTCTGAGCCTCTTTAATACTTTATAACCCTTTAGGAGCTAGTCCAATGGTTACTCTTCCTGGTCTGAGAAAGGTATGGAACAGTTGGAAGGCCAGTGGGAGCAGCAGTCCCAGGTGGGCTGGGGCGGCTTTGGCTGCCGGCTGACACAACAGTGAGGCGGATGGTGTTCAAGAACCTCAGGTCTGGTGGACGAGCTAAGAGATGGGCTTGCGTCCTTGTCTTTAGATGGCAGAAAATAGAGGAGCTGCTCAATAAAATGTTAACAGCTAGGCAACTCCACTGAAAGCACTAAAACCACAATACTTTTTCTCATGTGTCCTTCATGGCAATCCTACTCAAAGATCAGGTTGTGTAATGATGTGAAAAGATTTCAGCATAAAAGGCAAAGGGTTGACCCTTTGTGTGTGTACTTTTACATGAGCGGGAAAATTATTATTGGATATAGCTTCCTTTCTAAAAAATAGAGACATAAAAAGAAGCTGCCTTAAATTATAAACAGGTCTAACTGATGATTGAAGTTTCACTGTTCTTGCTGCTCTGTTGTATTTAACATAGTTTCTTTCAAAGGCATTGTGTGCCATCACTGGATGATGCCTTTCTTCTTCATACAGCAGGAAATGTTCACATGGCATGAAAATGGGAAAATGAAAACAAAACACTGTTCATTTTTGAATCATCAGGGCAAATGACAGAGGAAGCCCGCAAAGTGAAGTCCAAATACCTCATTTTTGAAAATAGGATATCTGTAAACATTATTTTTGTCATTTCTTACTTACTGCAGGTCTGTATGAGAAGAATGATTACAGCCATTTCCTCTGACCCATGACCTTTCACTGCTGGGGATTTACAGGCTGTCTGGGAATGTCCGAACACTCCCCCGAGAGTCCAAGGTGGACACACAGCTAATTATAGCCATGCGGGAGAGGGCACTGTTCCTAAGGTGGCTGTAGCTTAGCCAAGTCTCGTTTCCTCCTTACACGACTCCCTCTTCCAATCATCATTAATGTCTTCAACAGGAACATCAAGTTAAAAATAAAAGCACTGGATGATTTTAAAAATGTCAACACAATGACAGTTTCATATTTGAAAAAATATTCTAGGAACCACTTATAATCTATCTTTCCAGAAAACTCCCAGCTCATTTCTTTAGAGAGGATATCTGATGACCAAAATGACCCAGGTCACTAAAGCGTGCCCTGCCAGGGACAAAGAATGTTTGTTTGTTAAGGAGTCACTCAAGGACGAACTGCCTATACTGCATCTTTCTCAGGAATTCAACTTTATGTCAAGCCAGTGGAATCCACTTGCCAAAGTTCCACCCCAGACATCTTGCATGTAAGTAACCATCCTGTTTCAGGACAGGGAACTCACTATCTCCCCCTGCAGCATGCCTAATGGTTAAGGGCACTGGGATCAGATAGATCTAAGGTCCATTTGGGGCTCCTGTGGCTTACTAGTTGTGTGGACTTGTACAAATTATATAATCTCAATGAGTCTGTTTTCTCATTTATAGAATCGGAATCTCTCAGAGGACTTAGTGAGGACTCAATGAAAAGTTCCATCTAAAGCCACTCACTAGGGTCTGACGTGTGGTAAGCATTCACATGGTCATGAAAGCTTCGCCGCCCAAGATGGCAGCCACCGGCTACAGGTGGCAATGGACCACTTGAAACATGGCTAGTCCGAACTGAGATGTATTACAGGTGTAAAACACACACTGGATTATGAACGTTTAAGTATGAAAAAATTAACAATTTTTTACACAAATTACATAGTGAAGTAATGAAATTTTCAACATATTGGATTAAATAAAATATACTGGAATTAATTTCACCTGTTTCTTTTTAAAATGTAATTTCTAGAAAATTTAAAATTACTTGCGTGGCTCGTGTCGAATTTATTTTGGCAAGTGCAACACTGGAACATTCCATTCTTACACAGGCAGCTCACTCTGAGAGACCTGCCTTCCAGTGAATCCCACTCACTGGACCTGGTTAGTCATGGGACTTCAGCACTGAGGGGAACCTTTGGGGAACAGTCCAATCCCTGATTATACAAATGAAGCAACTAAGATGTAAGAGGCTCGAGAGTTACACAGAGGTCACACTATTTTCTAGAGTTGCAAAAAACAAGTTGAATTCACTTTCCATATCATCAGCTCCTCACAAACCTGCAGAGAGGGGCCCAGATTGTGTCCCCATCCCCCAGTCCTTTCTTTTTGCACATGAAACCCCCAGTTCCTTAAGCCTCTTCACAATAGGATTTAAACAGAGTTCATAGTTTTGCTCCCATCTGTTTGTCAAAGATCTTAAGATGTGTCCCCTCCTCACCCCAATGCAAACACAATATTCTAGATATGGTCTAACCACCATAAATCAACTAACTGGGTGGAGAGGACTGGCTCCCTGGCTGTTCAAACAATAGGTAAGACAGGCCAATCAAACCAAGGACTTTAATTCTGAGGAAGAATTAAGAAGAAAAGAAATACAGTGGGGACTTTGTTCATCGCAGCTGTGTTCAAATCCTATTGTTGGTAAATGAGACCACGTGGTGCTTGTAAACCGGTGTGACCTCTTAGATTTGGCCATTCCGCTCATAAGGCATCTTTTACGATGCTCTGACCGGTAGCATCGCTGAGCCTCCCCCTCTGCCATCTGCCTTACAGTTTGTCCAAGTTTGAAAAGGAATTCATGTTTGTGCAATCTAAGGAATATTTCCAGTTGTTTAAAATTCTTCTAACATGATTACACATTTTTATCACCGGACAGCAAATATCACCTTAGCCATTTAGTGCCCATGCGAGTTTGTACCAAAAGCAAAGAAATCTTTCAGGTGGGATGATAGATGCCTCAACTAAATCATGGGATAGGAAAAAAAGTTCTTGAGAAATGACAACTGAAGCACCCGGGCAGTTAAGTTTGATTAAATCCATAAACAGTGCCTTCTACCAAAGCACGCAGACTCCTGTAGAAAAACAAGCTTAATAAAGGTCATGAGGATCACATTTTTTTTTTTTTAAATAAGCTCTACGTTCAACATGGGGCTTGAACTCATGACCCCGAGATCAAGAATCACTTGCTCTACCTACTGAGTCCACCAGGTGCCCCAAAGTTCACATATTTTAAGTAGAATCATGAGTTATAATGAGAGAGATTTAGAATTGTGTAGTTTTCTGTAATTTATACAGTGTTAATGCATGCCTTCTTTGGCTCATTGTATCCCTTCCTTCCCCTCTCCCTATGCCTTCTTCCCCATTTTAGAGATGAGGAGACTGATGCTAAGGTGACTTGCTCAGAGTTCTATGGCTAGTAAGTGCCAGATGGAGGCTGTAATCCCAGGTCTCCCCAGGAGGTCTCAACCAGGCTTTTCTGGTTTGTTCTTTTAGTAATCAGCAGGGTTAGTAGTCTTGGCAAAATGGCAAAAGCCCAAACTCAGGCTCCTTATTCCATATATATACAGAAGGGAAACACAATGTTCTTCCTACCCCCATCTGTGCCTTCATGTCCCTCCCATCGGTCGGTCTGTCTTTCTCTCTGGCCTGGAAAGATGCCCCAGCATTGGTTATGAAGTAACTGCTCTGCTATCATTCTCATTATTTATTCTAAGATTCCCAAGAGTACAAAGCCTTGCCCTCAATGAGCTGTAAAATCTTGTGAGGGCAGGCCCTGGAAGAGTTAAGATCATCTGAGTTTGAATCTATTCTCTACTTACTAGCCATATTACCTAGGAAAGAATTTTTGTCTGTTCTGTGCCTCTATGTAAAATATAGGTAATCACCTCTACCTCTTATGGTTGCTGAGAGTATAAAATGACAAATCTCATATATATCTCTATATATCTATAAATCATATCTATGGAATATTTTATATAATTGAATATATATGTATATAATACACATGTATATTATTATCTATCTGAATCTGTAAGATAGTCCCTGTCACATGGTAAGCACTTCATAGGTGTTTGCTATCATCTTCAGCTAATCGCTAAGAATTATAAAGCTAGCATGGTATAAAGTTACTAGCGTAAGTCCTGCCCCCATGGAGATGAGTTACTCATCACTGTAAGGCTAGTTATTTGTAACTAATCATAAGAAGACATTTCTGAAAGTTAAAAACACAACCTGTTTAAAGAGGAAGCAAAATGGATTTTTTTTTTTTGATAGAGAAAAGCCAGGTATTTTCATGTCTTAAATGCTCTGCATTCCATGATTGTCCATTTCACACTAACTTCTGAAAGGCATTGTCTGATTTTAGTTAAGTTTGGTTCTGTAATGAAGATCTCTAAGAACTATATATTATGTTTGAATTAGGAATTTGGTTTATTAGCTTGGAAAAAAGACATCCCCATAAGATGTAAACCTCATACCCATAAGAGTTTTCAAATCAGTATTTAAAGAGTCTATTAATGGAATATCCATGATAAAGGGCTTATGAACTTAAAGCATGTCAGTGACTAGTTACTTGCTTCCCATAATTTTAGACTTACATTTCCTCACCTCAAAGATACAGATGTGGACTAGATGGTCTCTAAGCTTTCTATCACTGACACATCTTATAATTATCTATTATTAGCAAGATTTTCAAATATATACATAAAGTATAATGTCTTTGAAAGTAAGGTTTGGCTAATATCATGGAGCTAATTCTATTGAATCTTTTGGACAATACCCAAATTCCACTTTCACAGAAGGCTACCTGGTCAATCGTTGTTTCAGTTTGTCATTCCACACTGACCACTGACTGGGCTACTTAGTGAAGGGCTCTGCCTACAGCAGGATCTCAGAGTATGCCCAGAGGAAGGCTGTCTAGACCCCAGAGGTCTAGGAAAGCAGTGAATTATTAAGAATTATTAAAACACTAGCCCAAAAGCCTTTCTATAGAAATGAGAAAGTTGATTCTACAATTCACACTGAATTGCAAGGAACCCCAAGGAACCAAAGGCTTCTTGAAAAAGAACAAGTCGGAGGACTTACCAATTTCAAAACTTATTACAAAGCTACAGTGATCAATGCAATGTGGGACTAGGATAAGGACTGATATTAAGATGAATGGTATATAATTGAAAGTCCAGAAAGGCATATGTGTGTGGTCAATTGGCTTTTGACAAGGGTACCTTTGTACCTTTGAGAAAAATAGTGTCTTTAATAAATGGTGGTAAGATAAATGAACATCCACATGCAAAAAAAAAAAAAAATGAAATTGGACTACTGCCTTACACCAAACACAAAAATTAGCTCAAAAGGGATAATACACCTAAATATAAAAGCAAAAACTGTAAAACTCTTAGAAGAAAACATAGGAGTAAATCTTCATCACCTTAGATTGGGCAATGATTTCTTATATATGACACGAGAAGCACAAGTAACAACAAAAAAATACATTAACTGTCCTTTGCCAAGTTAAAAAACTTTTGTACATGAAAGAATATTACCAAGAGACTAAAAAGACAACCCATCGAAGGGGAAGAATATATGCAAATCATAAATCTGGTAGGGGTCTACTATCCAGAATATAGAAGGAACTCTTAGAACTCTGCAACAGAAAGACAAACAATTCAATTAAAAATGGGGCAAAGGACTTGAACAGACATTTCTACAAAGAGGGTATACAAATGGCTGACAAAGACACAGAAAGACACTGAATGTTATTAATCATCAGGGAAATGCAAATCGAAGCTATGATGAGATACTACTTTATATACACTAGAATGGCTATAACAACAACACAAAAGAGAATTTAAGTATTGGTGAAGCTGTGGAAAAATTGGAACTCTTATACCTTGGTGATGGGAATATAAAATGGTACAGCTACTGTGAAAAAAGTTTGGCAGTTCCTCAGAAAGCTAAATTTAGAATTACCTTAAGACCCAGCAATTCCACTGCTAGGTTTACACCCAAAAGAACTGAAAACAGGTGTTCAAATAAAAACTTGCACCCCAATGTTCATAGCAGTATTAGTCACAAGAAGGTGCAAACAACCCAAATGTCCAGGATAAATGTGGTATATCCATGCAATGGAATATTATTCAGCCAAAAACATTGTGCGGAGTCAAAGAAGTCAGACACAAAAGGCTACGTAGTGTATGATTCCATTTATATGAAATACCCAGATAGGCAAGTTCACAGAGACAGAAAGCACCAGGGACCAGGGCCCGGGGACCAGGGACTAGGGACTAGGGAGCATGGCCTGGAAAGATGTCCCGGGATAGTGGGGAGTGACTGCTTAATGGGTATGAGGTTTACTTTTGGGGTGATGAAAATGTTCTGGAACTAGAAAGTAGTGAAGGTTGTGTAACATCCTGAAGGTACTAAGTACCACTGAATTGTACACTTTAGAAGGTTAAAATGATAAATTTTATGTTATGTGTATTTTACTACAATAAGAAAAAATGAGTGGCTCTACTTAGTATGGTGATTACAGGAATAGACAGCATTTGTTTCCCGTACACAGTGGGGAGCTGTGACAGAGCCCCACAAGGGCTGAGGCAGGTAGGACAATGGACCAGGTTTCTCTAGCTAAGACATATGGCTGCCCAACAGGCCTGACTTACATGGTTTTGCTTTTAAAATGAATTCCAAAAGTTCACAGACCCATGGAGACTGTATAAATATATATAAATACAGGATATTGAAATTATGTGATATTTTAGACTACCCACATTGTGATTTCCATTCATTAATGCACATATTTGAGTTGACTGCCTTTAGAAAATGATGTTCAAATAACAGACCAAACCAATTACGAGAAAATTTCTTCCCATTACTTCTAAGGACAAAGCATATGAGATCATAGGATGCTTGGCCTCATTTAATTTGTTTTTGTTTTTAAAGATTTTATTCATTCATTTGAGACACAGAGATAGAGAGAGAGACAGAAAAGATGAGCAGAGGGAGAGGGAGAAGCAGGCTCCCTGCTGAGCCAAGAACCCGAAGCGGGGCTTGATCCCAGGACCCTGGGATCATGACCTGAGCTGAAGGCAGACGCCTGAGCCACCCAGGCACCCCATTGGCCTCCTTTAATTTGTATGGCAGAACCACACAATCTGCATTTTCAGTTACCTTTATAATTGGCACTTTCCCCGAGGAACCCAGAGAACAGACTGCACAGTTCCTCCCCGGCCCTTCTCTGTTGCGCTGCCCTGTGTCGTCTCTGCAAATTCAATCTGACTTGCTCTTCAGTAGTCTAAGGAACTGCCTTCACCTCTTCTGAGGGCAAGGTTGTGTAAGAGTCCTGCAGCTTGGCCTCTGTCCTGCTCCCCGCTGGCAGACTTCAGACCCCCAGAGGTCTTGCTTACTGCTGTCTCCCCAGCATCAAGCCAGGGCCATGGACACAGAGCAGGTACTGAGGATTTGCTACACACATAGATGAAACCTTAGAAAATCTGAGCACAAACTAATGAAGCCGAAGAGAAGCAGCACAGGTTGCAACATAGGACACTGAATAAGTTTTTTTTTTTTTGCCATTTTAATGGATAGTGATGAATATCCGGAAAAAAATTAACTGGAGATGAGCACTGTTTGAATCCCGTCAGGGGCAGAAAGGAAAGCTCTTGTTACAAATGAAAACCACCTCAGAACTCAGGACATGCAACTTGGAAGTAATTTGTGAAGTATTATTTAAATACATAATTATTCCATTTTGGCCCCATTTCCCACTTCCATTCTCCACCTCAGTCTCATACACAACTGACTTAACATGCACCCTTTTGTTTATGTAAGTTCTTAAAAACTGTATTGTTTGGTGAGCATATGTTTTGGTTTATGGTGTTTTGATTTATGGTGATGGATCTCATTCTTTCTTATTCCGTGTGTAAAGGACTGGTGTGGAACATCCAGAGGCCTTGATGGAAACAATACAGTATAAAAGCATGAATGCTTCATTATAAATGCTCAGGGGCAGGAACTAGGGTATAAGTCAAAGCTGGTAAACATATCAGGGCTTAGAGTAATAGGAAAGAAGGTTAATAAAGCAAATGATAGTGTTAGGTCTTACCATGGTGTGCCTTTTGTATTAACACTGGATCCCAGACATTAAATATGGTTTCAAGTATTTCCTCATTAATCTTTTTACCACTCTGAAACAGGTATTTCCCTTCAGTTACCTAAGGACTTTTACAGGCAGAATTAATCACTTTGTTTCTTAAAAGAAAGGAATCAAATTGCTACATGGAAAAGTGAAAAACAAGAGAAGCTTCATAAACTATTATAACATTTAGTTCCCTCTTAAATGATAAGTAGTCTATTATCCTTTGGTCAGATGTTTGATGAATAAACAACATATTTCGATATTTAGATACATTAAAATGAATTATTTGGGGATTCAGCCTATTTAAATTTGCATGTTTTAAGATGCATAATCCGAGACACAATGTGCCCATTATGCCCCAAACTTACTTTATCATGAGGCTTTGGCCATCTATAGCTTCACCGTCCCCTAGGTCGTACTTGCTTGTCAAATAAAGGGAAATCTCAATCTTTGAGAGTTGATTTAGTGTATTTGCCCTGTTAGGGTCATTGGGGTCAACTGCTCCTTCCCCTGCAGAAATAAAACATTGTTATTCTTACCATTCACTCATTGTGTTGGCATCAGCAAAGCAAGATAAATGTTCTATGGGAAAGACAGGCTTTGTTGTACAGGGGATAATGGTCTTCATAAACAAAACAAAACATATACTAATATATTCCAAGAGGCCTTTAAAATCTTTCTCTTTTTTTTTTTTTAAAAAGATTTTAAGTAATCTCTACCCCCAACGCGGAGCTCGAATCCACAACTCCAAGATCAAGAGTCGCATGTTCCACCGACTGAGCCAGCCAGTCACCCCTTAAAAAGTCTTTGATTTAAACTGTAAAATAACATGGGGGCACAGATACTCAAAACATGAAAATATTACTAAAAGAGAACTTAATAAAAGAAATTGTTATAAAATACAGCAAGGAATTTGTAATAAATTTGGCTCTTTAATGATTTCTTTATGATATAGGTTGACTAATCCCTTTTGATGCATCTAGAGTTTAATTGCTATCTAATTGATTTGTAACCTAGGACACTATGAATTACAGAACTCTTAATGTAGGAAGGGGCTAGTGTAGTTATCTTCTTAAGTAAGGTTAAATATTAAGATTATTTTGATCTAGGATAGGAAAACTGAACAACTAAACACAAACCACAGGATAAATAGAAGGCAGAAGCTCTTACCAAGAAAAGACTCCACACTAGGTACCTCTCCCAGGGATTCCAGTAGTTCATTCAGCAAGTCCTGTTTGTCAGGTGCAATTGCATCCTGGTGTTCCAACAGGAGCTTTACAGAAACAGCAATAAACACAGAGACACAAACAATTAAAAGTAAATTCCTAAGTGCTACCATTTTTACGTCAAGTTCCCTTTCCAGTTTTTCAAGATAATTTTCTTCTAATACTGTTTTATTTTTATTTTTTTAAAGTAAGCTTTATGCTCAACATGGGGCTTGAACTCATAACCCCGAGGATCAAGAGTCCCATACTCTACCGGCAGAGGAGTAAGGCACCCCTATTGTTTGAATCTTAATTACAAGTTTGACATTTATTAAAATTAGAGACCACAGGGAAACACAGTTTTTAATATTGTCTTAGAGGTAAATGCCTACTTTACACGAAGAAATTGTAGCTTTGTGAAAGGTGCCCATAAAACCCTCTTTCAGCAAGATCTGGTGAGATGTGCCTCCAAGAAGCCTTCTACCACTTAACCCCGTGCTCCAGCCCACCTTGACAGAAAAGGTCAAATGTGGGGAGGAAAGTGCCTAAAATGAGGCAGAAGTCTCTCTGCTAATAAACTGGAAGCACATTTCCATATCTCTTCAGGGAAAAATTAAGTGGTAATCAAACAGTATGGCTATATATAAAAAAAAATCACCACATTAGCTATTTTAATCTGCCTGGCAATTGAAGATCTTTCAAGGGTAGGGATCACAGAAACGCCCGTATGCTTCCTTGGCCTGAGACCTAGATGTACCAGGTGTTGTTTCTGGTACACAATCCCCAAAAGGATGTGAGGCGTGTAAAGAGAGGCATTACATAAGTAATAAAGGTGATAAAATGACATAGTGACATCTGGAATGGTAGGATGCATATTTCTGGAGGAAGGTACATTAGTAACAGAACAAAATAAGGTATAACTTTAAGTTCCTGTTCTCTGAAGAGACAGGAGAGAGCTGATTCGGCTGCTGTCTCTGGGGAGTGAGGATTTAGGCAGCTAGTTTCAACCCTTTATTCTGGTGATTACAGAACAGAAAACTTTCTTGAAAATGTCTCTTTAAGGAGCTTATTTTGAGGGTCTACATGTTCCTTAGAGGACAAGGGGCAAGCAGGGGGTCACAGGCTGTGTGGGCTGAGCTGCCGCCAGGCTTCTGTGTAGATGTGGACACCTCCTCGTTTGAGACAGACTGTAAACAGAATAGTCTTTCTCGGCAGTCACAGTACTCCCACGTTAGACATCTGCTTCCAGCCTAACACATGAAGACAATCCAAACCGGTCACAAGCCAGATTTCCCAGGAAAACAGAATCCCCTCTTTTCAATTTTTGTTAACAAAAAGAACAGACGATTTCTCCTTAAAGAGTAACAGTCTAAATGAATACAGTAACATTTTTTTCATGGCTATCCCTGGGAAAGAATGTCTCATTCTAAAAGATACCTCCGCCCCGCTTTTTCTGCATGAAGATACTGCCCTCAACAGATGTGTAGCCAGGATGTGGACATTTTTTTGAGACAGATAATCTACCATAAAAAAGACAACAGTCGTTGCTCAAATATGAATGAGTCCACTTGCTCATTAGAGCAGTTTTGCAAATGTTGCATTGCTGGACATGTTTTATGATTTTGAGTGTTTATACATAGAGAAAAGAAGTATAGCCTCTTCATTTGATCAACCAACTCACTCCTTTGGCTGGCCGTTCAGACCCGCCTTTGTTTAAGGTCACTCAAAATACTCATGGAGAGCTTGTTGCAAATGTCAGGGTGGTTCCTTGTTCCATCCCTGAAAGAGGGAAACCAAAAGCAGGTCCAATCTTTTTTCAAAACCTGTATTCAAGCTTTAGTTTGTTAGTTAGAAGAGCTTAATAACACGGACTGAAATTTTAGTAGCCAATTTTGCCTCCTGTTAGTGTATCTGCTTTGATGGGGGCGGGATAGGACCTTTCAGAGGTGTATATTTGTTATGCTTTCCTCCTAGTTGTGTGTAATCCCAACTGAGTATACCCTTAATGAGAGCTTCTTGACCTCTAGTGTGTATCTGCAGAACCTGGGTTCTTGTTAGAGTGTAAGTTCTGAATTGGGAGGTCTGGAGTATGTTTCTAAACATGTCCCTAAGACTTCTCTTGGAGGAGCACGGTGGTAAGCTATTTTCAAAAAGATTATCTTTTAGGAACCAGGTTTTTCAGGAAATACTTTCCAATTGGTTTTTTCCAAACAAAAAAAACAACAAAAAAACCCCAAACAAAAACCCAAAGAACCTCTCAACGCTTAGCCTCTTTTTACTTTAAATGATTGAGGAGCCATCTAAGGCTTTCCCATGCTGAGCTAAGTGCCCTGACCCCAACAGACACTTAATATTCTTTTCACGGCTGATGGTGGTGACGTTTGCATGCCATCTGGATGGAGACACTGTGACATACCACAGACTATGAAACTGCCTTTGAGAAAAGGGATTTTCCAGAACAACAGAAATGATTCTTTGCAGGCAGCTAATGTTGGGTGGGGTGTCCTCTCTTTCCTAACCTTAAACAGCTTATTTTCCCTATCTTTATGTTCAATATTGGGAGAGAGAGAATATTCTCATTATCCCAGAATTTTACTGGAAAAGCTGGGAAGATTCTAGAAAGGGGAAGAGAAATAGTGTGGGGGTTCAGGCAGTGCAGCCCTGGTGGGTAGAGGAAATAGCAGGGCCTATCCCTGCTCAGGACTTAAACTTGACATTCACAATCTGACTTTGTCAACAGATCATGTAAGAAGTAAATTTTCTGATTTGGGAGGAGCTTTATTATGCACTAGAGGGAATAAATGCACCATGTAAAAAGTAAATGTGGCTTGTTTGGGAAAAGGAATCTTATTCATGTGTAAGTCAGGGAATAAATAATCGAAGGTTTCTTAGGATTCTGAGTATGAGTATTATTAGCACATGCTTACAGGAAGCCCCATAGAGACTAAGCATTTTTAACAAAATCGCATCTGAACCGTGCTAAGACCCTTTTCCAACCCCACTTACTGAATGTGTGCTGATGATTTCTTCAATTGAAATATAAATGACTGGTTTGCTGACTGTCACCACATCTGTGTATTTATCCATATTAAACTTTTCTTCTGGCTCAGGGACATTACAGGCTTCTTTGAAATATTTCCTAACAAAGAAAACAAATTCTTAAGACAGAGTTCAAATTTCTGAGGTAAATAGCTTTGTCAAAACACTGAGGAAATCATGAATTATGACTAGTGCTTTATTCTCCATCCCAAACTATGTGTGTGTGTGCGCATGTGTGTGCGTGTGTGTGTGTGTGTGTTGGGGAGGGGGGAACCTGTTACATCATCTTCCAGAATGGCTCCTAACTATGGAAGCTGAGTCCATGTTTCTGTATGTTGGACCCAGCTCCTCAAGCAGGAATAGAGAGAGCAACATAGCCTCAGGTTCTGTTAGTGACTCAATGTAGTCAAATTATGGTTATTTTATTTCATTTATTTTT